ACTTTAATTTTTATTATTTCCAGAAGAGAAGGGAAAAAACAACACTCCACTGTCATTCTGCTTATTTGAAAATGTAGCACAGTATCCTTACTGTTGGGTCTCATGCTTGCAGAATGAGTCAGGTGTGAACTTCCAACCTCTACAGATGCCGAGCCTTTAAAATTCTTATTAACTTAGGACTAGTTCAAAACAGCCAAAAATAATTGCTAATGACTCCAACTACAGATTAAATAAATGAAAAGATGATGGCTGGCAAGGATAAACACTGAGAAAACATCTTCGGTTGGACAGCAACAGAAGTACTAGCCAGAGTATTATTATCATGTGGCTGTTTCCTATAAACATGGAGACTACTTACCTATTCTACACAGTTTATTCTACAGCTGCTAATAGACACTAAGTTTTGGTTAGTACTAACTCATAGTACTGGTACAGGACTTAAATAGCCTATTTATGAAGAATTCCGGAGAGAATCAAAATAGTTTTACTGAAAACAAGTGTTGTCACTACAGCTAATGAGTGCATACAAACAGCTTTCAAGCAAAAATAGGTAGAATTCCCAAAACGCTCAGCATTAGTCTAATTCTGTTCTATTCATGTCAATAGAAAAAAAAATATCAATAGTACATCTTCTTTTAAACCTCTGTGGTCCCAAAGTTAAATTTGAGCCAGTGCTATGCTTTCTCACAAGATACATAAGGTATCTTCTGAATCCAATAACTGCAGTTAACATACAGGATTCAGTTGTCTTTGCCTCTTGCACAGAAAAACGTTTCACTGGTTTGGATGAAAATCTTACTGACAGTGATTTCAACGCTAAATTGCTCAGTAATCCAAAAGTAAGTAATACAAAACAATCTAAAAAAAAGTATTCAATGTTTCAACAATACAAAAAAAAAAAAGCTCTTTAAATTGCATTGCACCTAACAGTAGATCATCAAATAGAAACTACCTTCCTTCTGCAAAAGTCACATTATTCATACCCCGCTACCTAACAGACGCACGTTTATTTTAGTACTGAATGCACATGGTCAAAAACAAGGAAATAGAAGTTTTCCTAGTTACTGAGACCGTCGTGAATATTATTTTCACTACATATCAGAACAGGTTCAACAAAACAAAGACTAAACTACAGCTATTACCTAGGTTTTGTTGATGTACACAGAAATACATGACAACATTCTTTTAAATCAGCAAATGTGAAATTCTATCAGTTATAAGGGGACCAACTCATTAGCAATTTGCATGATTTAGTCATATGTTCACATCTTAGTTCATTCATTCAAAACAAACAAACTTCTCTACGAGAGCAATGCAAAGGTCATAAAAAACGTCTATACCAAGTAAGAAAGGAAAAAAAAAAGACAATAGAGCATTCTGATTAAAAATATATATATATATATATATATATGTATGTATGTATGTTTTCTTTTCAAACAACAGTTGAGTTGTTACTCATAACAAAATAGATAAAAGGCTTAGATGGAAATTGTTCTTTCTTTCTTTCTAGTCCTTTGAATCAAAAGTAAAATGAAATCTATCAACATCAAATTAAAGTCTCCAGGGCTTTTCTGGTGCTTAGTAAAATCTTCTAGTATACCGGGGAAAAGCATTTACAAATATCACTGGGCCCTCACTCCCAAGGCAGTCATAAACTAGCCACAGAAAACATGGTGGTCTCAGAACGTCTTCAGAATTTAACCATGTGTTTCTGAACTTATTATTAAAGCAATTTAAAGAAAACACACAGTACATGAAGAGATGCAAAACGATCTTTCAACAGTCTGCCTGTAGATACCGGAATTCAAAGATTTTCCTGAACAACAACAAAATGAATACAAGCCTGTAGTTTTATAACTGGCATCCAAGATCCTAGACTGTCATCTGCCAAATTTCAGACAACTGTGGTGCTTAAAAGCTATAGGGAACAGAGACATTCACAGCTACTATTAATTCAAAGATGCTGAAGAAGGCATGTAATGTACAGATAGGCTTCCCATACGCACAACTTGCTATGCAGAAGCAAGTAAAAGGATAAGCATGCAATGGACTTTGTTTGTTGGTGGCTTAATCATGCCAACCTCTCTTAATCATACTTTGCATTATACAAATAACAACCCTTCTTATTCAGTAAAACGGTGACCACATTCAACCTTTTCCCAAGATAGCTATGACAAAGAGATACAACACCATCTTTGATGTTACGACACAAAAATTTACAAGCAGGTACACTTATCCTGCCATAACTCCTTCCACATTATAATAGCTAGGAAACTGGCAGTGACAGTAATACAGAAGGGAGCTTTTTCTGTCTTCCAGAGACAAAGTTTAGAATACTGGTAATACTGGCCAAGAAGCTGGAATCCCAAATGAGGATTCAGTGGCATCCTCTCTATTAAAATAATAAAATATTTCATCTAGCCATTAACTGATTCTGTGGCATGTCTACACTTGGGATCTTAGTCCTCTAGCTAAGTATCTGATCAACTTTTTCAAACAGGCATAAAACTTAATGAATGAGGGCTCCAAACAAGTGCTTATTATTTTTCAAAAATAAGGTAGAAAAATATTTCCTCTTATATATACAAGGTTTTACTTTAGTATAAATTAACTGTTCCTAAATTATTTCAGAATTAAGTTTATTTGCTATTTCAAAAAGGCAAATTATGCAGAAGAAATTAATTTCAGGTCATATAGTTCCTCTACAATCATTTTTTCTTCCTGATCTTGGATCTGTTTCTACTTGCAACATTTTTCTGGCTTATTAAAGGTTTATAATTGAAACAGATAAAAAAGCCTATTACAGAGAGCAGTAATTATTAACTGCTGTGAAAATAAACTGGCTAGCATCTAACTTAAGAAACACAGCAGATGGCCAAGTAGGGGATGCTGAAACAATGAACGCAAGAGATTTTGCTGCTCACTTTGCTTCTTCATTTCAAAGAACATAATCAACAAACAGCAAGCATTTCACAAGTAATATTTTAATTGCACAGAGCAATTTGTCCTGGAAAAAGAGATACATTAGATAATTATAAACCTCAGAAGCGTATTTTAAAACGTTAAGCCCAAGTCTTCACGTTCTCAACTTGCTTTTTGAGCAATTTTACATTCATAAAGACCCTCTGTATTCGTTATTCTCCTTGATATTCTTTCAGTGGCAGATTCTACATAGTCCCTTACCCCTCTCCCCAAAGTTCTAATAAGAGGTAAACTCATTTAAAATTGCAGGAATCCAACATTCCCAACAGCTAACAGGCAGACTTCAAGTACAGATGGAAAAGTAAATAAAAAAGAGAGATGAAATGTTGACTCTGTAGGTTTTCCTTGACAGTATGAAAAACCTTTACTTCAGAAATACTCAGCAGCACCCATCATCCATTGCATCATTTTCCTAGAATTACAATGACAAACAGTATTACTATTTGCTCAAAAGAAAGACATCATGAACCAAGTAAACCACTAACAGGTAAGGAAAAGAGAAACCCGAGAGCCAAAAGGAAAAGAGCAGGTCACTCTGTTGGTTTCTTTTCTTAAACATGAACTACCTTTAATTAAAGAAGGATCGATTTACACAATAGACAGCGACAGAAGTGCAGCAATACTGACTTTTAGGTACGCTACTAGCTTGGTTACCATGGGGAAGGAAGGCGGCACTGTGGTCAGATACACATACATGTGCTAACATTTCCTCTGCACCAAAGTTCTGAACATTAATCGAGAACAAGATGCTGTAGTTTCAAGATCTTGATGAATAGAGCTTGCATAACCTACCAACAGCTGTTTTATTTTCTGCCCATGTTACCGGTGCTAACAGAACTTGAGATTCTCCAGATACCAAATAGCTGTTGCAGAGTAATTCTGAATCAGTGGTTCTCAAAAAAAACCATACGTTTTTGAGTTAGATAATGCTTCCCAAGTCCATGTATTTAACGGGACTGTTCATATTCTATCAGGGAAAAAAAAATTCACTATCACACATTTTTGAACATGCAATACTGGTAGGATATATGTGAGCAGCTGGAGCAGCCAACCTTGATTTATATCTATGTAATAGAATTTAGATGGTGTTCGCAAAATGAAAAATTCCACAACCCAATTCATACACACCACCATGTCTAGATAGACTTTTGTAGATTCTGGACCAAAGCTACACAAATATCAAAACAAGTGTAAAATTCTCATAATTACTAGGAAAATCGGGGTCCTCATGTAACTCAGTCCACAAAGAAGTGGAAAAAAATCTCACACGCTGAGGCAGTGTTAGCAGAATCAACCTGCTCAACTACTTTTCTCTAAACAGAATAAAGTAAGAGATAATTGGTATGACCCGAAACATCCAAGTCTTGTCAGATGCTGATTGACAATGGCAATGCAGTAAAAACTTGCTAGGACCAGATAGCTCGCTTTTGTAAAATCCTAACTCCAAAGTTGCTTGATTTTAAAATCCCAACTCCAGGAATTTACCTGCCCAACATAAGTGTAGTTACTACAATTCCAGTGGAAAACATCTCACTTGAAATACTAGATTCAGCACCTAGCCCGTAAGAACCTAGAAATTTTTGGCCTCAGAAGCCTAAATTGTACTGTCAACCACTACAGGTCGCTGCTCCTATTAATCAGGAAAAACCCAACTCCAACATATCCTAGGTGCAAAGCAAATGCAACAACAAAAATCTGGGGGAAAGACCTTGCGAAATTCATCAGGCAGTAAGACCTTGCTCCCAAACCTCTAAATTCTACCGCACAGAATGAAGTGCTGAGCCGCACCTGGACAACCAAAGAAATCTGCACCTTCTAGATACTTAGATTCTCAAAGTTTTATCTTTAAGCTAGACAGCTTTCTTTCCCTGTACCTTTTTTTTTCTCTCTGTCCCATGGATCGATCAATTCTTCAAAGGAAGAGGGGAGCAGCAGGAAAGAACAACTAAATAAGACGGCACAGGGTAAAAAACAAGTAACACCAAGGTGGAGGGACCTGGACCATGTGGCAGCCTCACCTCCTGGATTCGCCTGCGGGCCCGCTGCAGCACCTCCTCATATCCCTTCTGTCGCAGCTCACTCAGGCTCTCATAATACTCTTCAGGGTCATCAGTCTCGGTGAAAAGCACCTGCGAAAGGATCTTCCAGCCACAGGAAACCAAGCTGTGGACCAAGTAAACTTGTAGCTTGTAGCAAAGAGCATCCATCTCCTGCTCGGAAAGCTCCGGGGCTCCGAACAGCACCGTCCACATGCCCGAGGGCTCCTCGGGGAAGGCAGGCAGATAGGGCTCCAGCTCCGAGTTCACCGAGCACAGCTGCTGGTGCACAGCCCGCAAGTCTTGGAAGGAGAAGAGGCCGGCCCAGCTGCACTCCTCCCCCGCGGGCTCCGCGTCGGGAGCGGCCGGCTCG